CCTTGATACCTGCTGAGCTCCGGTGTTTATTCCACATCATGCCCAGGTTTTGCCCCAGCGTCTGGGCCAGGGTCACTGCCATGGCCCCCATATTGTCGTACTTGGGGTGAGAAATATGGAGCACAGAGATGTTTACATCCCTCCCAAAGGCATAGGGCTCAAGCCTCAGCCCTCCCACCCCTCCCCCAGCTGTGCCCCCACACTGCTCACCTCATTCACACCCCCACCCCTGGACAGAGAGCAGATGCCTCCCACGTAGGCAGCCCCACTACTGGTGCTCTGGAAAGTCCTGCCCCTGCAAGGGAGAGGGTTGTCAGGAAAACCTCCTGCCCTTCCCAGAGTGGCTCCCATGGGCTGTGAGGGGCAGACAGGGAGCCTCCCCAACCAGAGCCCCTCCTGGGGGAGGTCAGTATTGCCCTCCACGCCAGCCTGTGTGGTCTCGGGCAGACCCGTTCCCCACTTTGGGTTTGTTTGCCCATCAGCCAAATGAGAGGGTCTCATTAGATCATCTGTAATTGCAAGGACCTTGCATCAGATTCGTGCCCCTCCCCCCACCCCCAGGAAGGGATGCTGGGACAGTTTGAAAAGGGAAGAGCAAAGGAGGGGGAGGAGGTGGGCAGAAGTGACCAGGGATAGGGAAAAGGGGCATCAACTTAAGATGCAGGGGAGGATGCCAGCCTGTTGCAAGGGGCTGGGGACAGGTACAAGATAAGACCGACTAGTCCCAGACCCCGCATGATCTCCTGGCACAGAGCAGGGGGTCAGTAGCCCCAAGCACCGCAGACACCAGCAGAGGCTGGCAGGATGCCTGGGGCGGGGGACTCACGAGAAGAGGTGGGTGGCATCGCTGAGCTCAGGCAGGCCCTCCCGCCGATAGACCATGAGACGGGCCAGGGTCTCCAGGAGGTCATCCTGCACCTGGATCTTGTCCCCATCTGCCCACGTTTCCATGGCAACCAGCACTATCCGGGTATTGAGCTGTTCCTTGTACATCTGGGCCCAGATAGGAGAAGATGGGGAGAAAGCTGGAGGGTGGGAGTGGGTGTGGGGGGAATAAGGCTGGAGGAGGGCTTCAGTCTGTGCTTCCAGGAAGTGGGGTTCAGTGGCTGGTAGTGCCCTCGATGGCTCACCCCGAGGATCTATGTGGCTGGTGGGGGGTTTGGGGTGAGAGGGAAGGGAAGGCGGGTTGCTCACCACATCAGCCAGGTTCACCACGGACTTGGCGAAGTTGCTGGTGAGGACCACGGACTGTCGCATCTGCTCAAACTGGAGGAAGAGCAGTGGAGGGCCAGGCTGCTTCCGGCCTCCCCCCCCCCCCCCCCCCCGGAGCCGCCCGCAAGCCTGGAACTTACAAGCTGG